CTCTACCAGGCAGAACCTGAGCACCAAGCTCACACCATGTAGCTTTAGGCCTCTTGCAAAGGCATTTGTAGTGACTGCAGAGGCACCTAAGATGACTAGCCTGGCGACATCCACCTCTGGAGCACAATTCAGCTCAGGAAAAGGAGGACTTGAGACCTCTCTCTCTTCCCGGTAATTATATGCGTAGTTTCTGTAACAGTTCTGCAAGGTCCTTCGTGCAGAAAACTTATTTACATGCAAAATGCAAAACAAACCAACATGACAACCCAAACAAGATGATGAATGCATAAAAACTCTATTTAGTAATTTCACCCTTCCTTTGTTCTCCCATGAAAATCATGATTGAGTTCAGGATATCTTATGTTGTGGCTACTTCTTTTTGTCCTATATTTACATCCAGGGCATTTTACTATGTTCTCTGTAAAGGTGGAGAAATTGAGGTGCAAAAAAGCCGCTGTTTGCCTACACTCTCGCAGGGACAGGGATGAGGTAAATTACTTCTAATCATTAAACCACTTTTTATCACACAGACTCTAAGCCAGAAATATGCATGCCTATCCTTTCCTAAGAGTTTACTAAAACTTCGTTTAGTGACTGGACTAATCAGGCATCCGGGCTGTCTCTCATGGTTTATTTAATGGTGGTGGGGAAAAGAGGTAATGAAAACCAGTAAGGACCCAGAGCGAGGTAACAAGCACTGCTGTCTCTATGCCCAGACAACAGCAATGCTGGACACTGTAGGTACAGAGGGAGGTTTGCAGGACAGCTACTGATAAATCAGGTTTTGGTTAATTGTCAGCGAAGAGCAGCGGAAGGGTAACGTTGGAAGAGAAGAGAGCCTCTTCAAATTATCTGCGAGAAAGTCCTGTAGGATATGCAGACTGCGTCATTGCACGGAGTGATGGCTTACAGAGGAAAAAAAAAAAAAAAAGGACTCTCCAATGTTCTCTGATTGAATCAGCCAAATTCTTCTTCATAACCCAGCTGACTCTGCACGCACATGGAAGGGGGGGTCTGAATCTCCACTGCTCTCCTACATTGCAGCAGCCTTGCTTTACACACTACATTCAATTCAGGATCAGGAGGGTAAGGGCAAGAGGTCTGGCCAACAACAGCCTAGGCCTATTCTGTCAGCAGGATGGCTGTAATGTTTTGTTGCTACCGTGGGAAGCAGAAAGGCAGTGAAAGCAAAAATGGATTCGCTTTGCAAACAGATTTTCCACCTTTCTTTCTTCCCTTTTATTGCAGGTCAAATTTGGGCCAGCTGATCTTGACAAGCGTCCCTTTCAGATATGGCAAAAGAGAATTAATTCCCTAAAGTAATCTCTGTGACCAATTCATTAAGTAGGCACTGTGAGCGATGCTGCTACTGCTCTCACGATGCCCACGAAGCAGCACTGGAAGTCAGAACACTTGTCATCTACATTGATTTTGTGGTCATGTCACTCAGCAATGATCACGACAGATCTGCTCAGAAACTTAGTCTCCCTTTGGCATTTTTTAACCGCTCGTGGAGTCACACTGCCTCAACCATACTAAAATATTGACTGGGAACACCTCTGTCAGTGGGCTTTCTGCCGCAGCTGGCTTCATGGGCTAGTTAGCAGAATAGCCGTGGGTCCCTGGAGAGCTCTCGCTAGAGTACTACAATGTTGCTTTACTTTTTCTGCAAAAGAAAAACATTGCATTTTAGGCTGGCTGGCAAGTTTCTTGCATGTTGCTGTTCTTCAGTGTGTTGTCATTTATCCTTTTAAAACGTCAAGTCAACTTGAAAACAAAACCATGGTTTTAAAACACAATGTTTCACTTTGTACATAAAACAACTTGAAGTGTTTAGGAAATTCGAGTCAACTTGAAAACAAAAACATTGTTTTAAACCACAATGTTTCATTTTGTAACAAAACCAATGACTTGAAGTGTTTCAGCTCTTCAGAATTTGTTCTACACTTTTCATTTGAAACTATTTACCCTCTTTGCCTTCCGCTGGATCAGAATTAAACTTAAATGTCAGTGTGTTTAAAGAGTCACTTGTTTGAGAGGAGACAATACATTACATTTGTAATATGTGTGTGGTTGGTTAAAGCTATTGGAAATAGTTATAAAATTGCTGTCCCAAGTTTTCGGTGAAAAATATTCATGCTTTTAGTCAAGACATTACACTTAAATTTCTTTAGTCATTTGTATGTTGGCAATCGCCATTTTGACCTGCTTTCAAAATACCTTATGAAAAACTATAGCTGTCTTTTCCCCACCAGTGCAGGATGCATTCACGGTATGATTTGCTGTCGTCTGTAAAGATGGAATAAGTTTCCATTAATTTTTATTCCTGACAACAAGTGCAGAGCTGAGCCACCCCTGAGACAGCCCGCAGGACTCGCCTGCCTCTTGTGCGCCATGAACAGAGCTATATATGCTGCCCTGCTGTACCTCTGAACACTGTGATGGTGGTTCCTAATTTTGCATAAGGGTTACTAAGGGAACAAATGGTCTGTTGCCTTTTTATACTGCCCTGAACCTGACCAGGTTGTAACAGTGTCATGATTTAATAGAAGACACGCCGCAAGTAAATCATACCATTCCCGAAAGCAGATAGGGCTTGAACAATACGATAGGAAGGAAAGAACCTAAAGAATTTGCTTGGAGCAAATTTTAAGGTGTGGAGGCAGGGATTAAAATCCCCAAACTGCTTTATCAATATGACAAAGTGTGAGGACAAAGCACTGTGCTTCTGCACCCTCATTGTGGCAAAGTATCACCCCCCCAGTTACCATATGGCATTCGGAAAACCCTCTCAGCCTCTGAATCAGATAACGGCATCGGCTGAGGTCCACTCTGCTCTAAGTTCAGTGCAAACTGGCTCTTCTAGCTCCAGTTTTGGAATTTCGCAGCCTGTCTTCCGAGACCGGAATAATTCATTTCCACAGATGTATGCTCCTTAATATCATTACACACTGGCCTGTACAATCCCTCTGGGCGAGGAGCCCATTTGTAAAGCAATATTATTCCTATGCCATGCTTTTAATTTTGAGGTTGTTATTGATAATGACTTCCTCTCATATATATCTAGCAGAGGCTGAGCTTTCGTAAGAGGAAGGCAGTGCAGTAGCTGTTCAAACAGAATTCGATAGTGTCACTGTGCGATGAGGAAAGAGGCTTTGGACAAACAAGGAACAGCATCCCATGCTCAGATTAGGAGGTTCTAGCATCTAGTAAATGTTTAGGCTACAAAATAAGCTTCTGTTACAAATCTTTGATAGTCTTTTCCACCCACCCCTTCTTTTGCCACCTCTCTACAGTACTCTGCTGGGACAGAGTATTTGCCTAGTAATGCCAAATGAATTCCACTTCTACAATACAGTACTCCAACGTAGGTACAGCGCGATCTATACATAACTTCCCATTAGCTCTGTTTGGGAAAGTCACCTATTGCTATTCACCTAGTGACTAAAGGGAGATACCGGGAAACTGAATTAGCTCTCTAGAGAGCTGTCTTTAAGAGCGAAGGTCTGGGATGCAGGAATTTCAGAGACTATTTCCCCTTACATCTGGCTGTTAGGAGACTAACAAAGACAAATCTCAAGAAGGGGACAATATTAATAGTAAGCAAGGGCCAGAATGTGTGATACAGGGTGTTGATACCACTGAGTACTCACATCAAGCTGAAAACCCTTGCTAGTGTTTCGGAGAGAACCCATGCCTCATCAAGATGGAAAAAAATATCCAAACACCACCAACAGAAAAAACTTGGGTTCACAGTGCCATCTCATAACTAAAATCCTTAAACACCAAAGGACAAAACTACTTATAAAAGCTTTTTCGCATCTCTGACTCTATGTTTCCACATCTCTAGACAGTAATTCTCTCCTCAGTGCTGCCTGTAGCCCCGTTCCCATTAAAGGCCCTGACTCAACCAAGGCTGCCAACCCCAGGCTCAGAAAGCCTGCCTGAAGGGAGTGTCAGCATCTCGGGGTGCTTCAGCACCCTTGCCATGCTAGAAGCACAGCAGACAGAGCCTGCCGGCTCCTCCTCAAAGCCTAGAATAAATGAATTAGCTGCAAGGGGTAAAATGACCCCGTGGTGCCATGCCTTTTAGGTGAGACTCCAGAATAAAGGCATCCTCCTCCCTGGCCAGACCCCTGGGAGACACTCTGCATCCCACCTGTGCGAGGGAGCCTGGAGGCCTTTGTGGCCATCCATTCACTTGAGAGGCACGCTGCCACCTCCCTTCTTTACACTTTGGAAAGCTGAGGCACACAACTTTTCCAGATTTATTATATATGGACGCAGACTCCTTTCATTGCCTGCCACAAATACACCCATAGAGGGAAACTGGGAATCAGCTGAGTATATCTCCTAATCTACCCATTACACAGCATTGTTTTAGGCTGTTAAACAGCTGCTGGGTTGCAAGAGTCACAAAAGCAGTTTCTGTATTTTTCCTCTTTGAGCTCCTTTTGAAAATATATGTCCTGCATCACGTGCAAGTCATTCAGTTTCAGCACATGCTGTTTTATGGGATATAGTAATACTTGGGCACTTCCTTCATAGCCTCCATTAAAAAGCAACACTACAGCAATATCTAAAATAGCACAGCTAGAGCCAATTTTTAATACAGAGGAGAAATGGAAAAAGATTTGCGCCATGAATTTTGATCACAGGAAACAGCACCACAGGAGACCTCATGAATCCCTTTAGTCCATTTCTGTTTTCCCATGGATCAGTTCTAAGCGATGATGGACAGTGCCTCGACTAACCCCTTCGTCTGAATCCCAGACTTATAAAGAGAGTGTGAAACACTACAACATGAGCTAAAGGACCCGTCTGTTAATTTCTAGTTATCTCAGACCACAATACTCCACCTGAATCAGTCACTAGAGAAGGACAAATCCCGACATGTTCTCAGTCCAGGTAACACTGACAGCAAAATCTTAATGCCAAACTGCGCTCCATTTTTCCCATTCCCCCCTCAAAATTGTGACTGGTTTTTGGCAAGTCCTTACCTGTTGCTTCCACCATTCCTTCCAGGATGACCACAATTTCAAACTCCTCCTTCTCCAGTTGGGTGCGGGACATCTCCCAGAAGGGGCTTTTCTCGTTGATTTCGTGTGAGATGATAAGAGGTGACACCAGGAACAATCTGTCGTCTCCAGTGTCAAATCCCACGTTGATGTCCGTTTGGTTCAAGGGGATAAACTCTCCTTCTTTGGTCTGTTTGGACTTAATCAGTTTGGCTCTAATGGAAGCCTCGACAATGTGGGAATTGCGGAGGTCTCCAACCCGGAACATGAGACAGAGCTTCTCATCCCTCATGGAAATCACTGCGTTGTTAGAAAACATGAGGGTTTCAGCCCTCTTCTTTGGTTGGCTGATCTTGACAAACATGCATCCCACCATGAACGCATTGACAATGGAGCCCAGAATAGCCTGGATCAGGAGCAGTACGATGCCCTCCGGGCACTTCTCCGTTATGACCCTATAGCCATACCCAATTGTTGTCTCAGTCTCGATAGAAAACAGAAATGCAGAAACAAATCCACTGAGATTTTCAACACAGGGGATCCAGTTCTCATCTTCAAGATGGTCCAGGTCTCCCCGGATATAGGCAATGAGCCACCATATGAACCCAAAAAACAACCAAGTGATGGTATAGACCATAGTAAAGACAAGAAGATTAAAACGCCACTTGAGGTCCACCAGCGTAGTGAAGAGGTCACTAAGGTATCGATAGGTTTCTTGGACATTTCCATGATGCACGTTGCACTTGCCGCTTTTCTCCATGTAACGCTGACGTGGCTTCTTACCTTCTGCCGATATGAGGCGGGTTCGGTCAGTAGCGATGGGGACATCATCCCGAGCCTGTTTGGGAATCTTCTTAGGCTCTCTGGATGTAACTCCGATGTCCATGTCCTGGTTCATGAAGATTCTAGAATCTCCGGCCATGGCTAGGCTGCAGGAGAACAAAGAAATAAAGTTTAAGATAGGAGGAAAAGAGCTGAGACAAAAGCCATTTCCTTTTACTGTCTGAACCGTTATGACAGACCAGGGCAACAAACATTGCAAATATTAATGCTACACTGACAAACTTTGCCCCATGCTTGTGCAGGGCGGGATACAGGCTGGCTCTACATCAGGAGAGCTTTTCGCTAGGGCCATGTCTTTCCTCCTAGTATGGTTTAGGGCAACACTTTAAAAGGCTTCCACGCTTCTTTCACTACAGCCACTTGCTAAATATAATGCTGCATTGAACCAGATGTTAAACACTGAATTATAATACACAGTCTCTTCAAACATGAACCAGCTGCCAGTCGCTTTGCTTAAGGCACTACTGGAACCTCAGAAAATATGGTGATGGGCACAGTCTGGGAGTCATGAAATAGGTAAACCTTGTTACAGTTTTTTGGGTTTTGGTTTTTTTTTGGGTCCTCAGGTTTTTTTTACACCCAAAATTTACTTGAGATCACAACTAGGAGCAAAGTAAAGATACATCAACATATTTTCAAGAGGGACTGGAGTTTTTTGATGCCTCAGGTTTTGGGTGCATACCAAGAGAAACCTTAGGAATTAATAGAAAACACTGAGCACCACTGTCTACCGAAATCTTACATAAGTGTAAATTATGCATGAAGGTTTCCCTTACAGTCAGCAGGGAAAGGCACCTCCAGGGATAATTCAGATTTCAGGAGTGCTGAATCACCTTCTGGAAGTACCCACCCCCCTCCACAAATTATTCTGGGAGCCTGGGCTCCAAATGTGAAATAGGCATTTAATTTAGCATCTTGAATTACATGTCCAAAGGTGTGATGGATCGAGGTCTACTGTTAATCAGATATATTGGAACCTACCCCTTTACTTCATCTGACATTTTAGAAATGTAACAGACAGCTACTAGAAAGCCCACTGTCAACACGCAAAACTAAGCAAGATACAAATAAATAATACATAATGATGGCTGCAATGATTTTTGCAGGTTATAATGTAACATCCTGTTTACCGAGATGATTAGATACTCCTTTAAAAAAACCCACACATGCTCTATTGAAAAACGAGAGTCTTGACTCTGAATGCAGGGCACAGACAAAATCTCTGCAAAAGACTACCTAAGAAGCCTTAGGGATATCAAAGATAGAGTAGCAATATTCTCTATGGCGTTCATTCTTGCATTGTCCTCTGCAAATCCTATTAAAACCTAACTAAATCTATTACCGCTCCCTCTATCTTTAATCTTCTTATGTGTCTGTGAATGAGAAAAGGTGTAGAGATACAATTAAGAGTATCTTGGGGAAGACAATTTTAAGATTGAGCAAAGTAGCTTCATCTTTTCGGTATTAAAAAGCACAAGGGGTGGGCGGGAAGGAAGCAGAGGCAGGATGAATAAATGAAGCAACAAATTTTCACTTCCATTCTGCTGTAGCCAAGTCTGGTTAACAGCAAAGAATTACTCTTAGCCCTTGTATAAGTCACCATCAATCATTACTCCAATGAAGCAGCCAGAGCCTGTTGCTGGAACCATACCCGCTGGCTCTGTTCACCAGGGAGCCCGGCCATCTGTCCACAGCACAGTCCCAAAGCTTCTTTGTGCTGGCAAATTTGCCTGGTTTGAAGGGTTTGGGCCAGGGCTGAGCCAGCACAGGGGTAAATAATAGGAATTAATGGCGCTGGGATGGTCAGTTAGGAGGAATCAGGTTTGCTACCCACACTGTGTATGATCCTGGACATGGGACAGATAACCCCAGTGCTGTGCTGTCCCCTTCCTCAAACAGCAACATCAAGGATTTTGGCAGAATATTAATCCCTACCTCTATTTCTTTCACTTCTGAAGGTAGGACTCCTGAGAGCTGGCTCATGGTATATTTAGGTATATTTTCAGCCATTTTCTACTGCTTGTTGCAAATTCCTATCTCCTGGACCATTGGCCTGGCTCTCTTATGGTGTGTGTCTATTTACACGCGTGCACAGTGCCTGCTAGATGCTGTCAAATTATAAGGGTACATATTGCCTCTCACTTTACAACATGTGAAAGCTATGCCAAGTTCGAGTCAGAACAGTCACACACTTCCCCCCCCCCCCCTTTAAAACGGAAAAAACAAGGCCCCCCCCCCCCCCCCCCCCCCCCCCCCGCTAGCTGATTCCAAACAGCCTACGTATCCATATGATATATTTCATTTAATGTGTAAGCACCATTATTGCATAAAATTGAGTGCATAGTAAAATAAAATGCTCAGAACTAAAAAAGTAATTGGCAAAATAATAAAGGATGTATTTCTTTCAATTTCTGGCTTACCAAGTTTAAAAGTTTAATACGGAAAGAAGCATCCCCATCCACTGACTTAAAGAGAATTAGGTACAGAGAAGAACTTCACTTTCTTCTTATGAATACTACTTTTGATCTTTGTTTGTGTTGTTTGATTAATCTAAAATTACTCCATTTGGACTAAAAAGCTTTTGATCAATCTATGTGTAGACATGTAAAAACAGGCAAGTGTTGCATGTTTTCAATTTAAAAAGACTTGTTTTCAAGATAATTTCATTATAAAAGTTATATTTGAAGCTGAGCTTCACTTACACTATGTAAGAGAGAACAATCCATTTCAAGACATTAATCTATAGTGTAAGGTTTCATATTTCAGATTCGTACCAAAGAGACCAAAAGGATCTTGAAACATATTAAAAAGAACAGAACAGAATGAAAACAATCAAAAAGCCTAAATCCCTAGAAATATCACTCTGGTGAAGCAGGCTAGAGGGACTGCCCATTAATGAAAGTACAAGAAAACCTGCTTTAACTAAACCACTCAAGGGACTGGCAACGTCGCTTTTCTAATGCTACTGATCTTTAACAATAGGTCAAGTGAAATCTTTCTGGAAACCTTCAGGAACACCTTACAAGTGGTCCATTAAAGCAGAAAAAATCCTGCTGTTTATGAACTTTACCGACAGCTTCAGTGGCATTACAATTTCCCCTAATATTTAATCTTAAACTCTCCCACTGTAGTATAAGCATAACCTCAGTATGTGGTTATTGAAAATAATTAAGCAGATGAATCTTTGCATTAGAATTTTTAAAAGGAATAATATTGGTTAGTGGTTTGAGCACAGATTTGGATGTCTGAAGACTAGCCAGCTTTCTGATCCAAATCATTCCAGTATTTTTTCTCTAACCCTGAGCAAATCACTGCTTTTCCCTCTGCCTTAATTTCCCAACTGTAAAATTTGTGATACAGATATAAATGTTCTCTGAGATCCTAAGCACAAGAATCTTCTAGGAAATTTGCTGTCATTGCCTTATTATTTTAAGGGCTCTGGGAAACTTTAGCACAAATGACAAGATACTATAAAAGGAGCACTGTACCTGTGTAAGGAGTTGGTTCCTTCATCATATAATCTACTGCCATTGCCCTCAAGTATACACATCTTTTCTAGATAATGGTAATTACGTGCAAGCATCTCTCAGAGATTTAGACTTCAGTTTGTAAATCGCTGCTCCCTCCAGCAAAGAGATCTCCGAGATGAAATTGCCTCATAGTCACACGCACCGTCCTGTTTCATTGGCATTTACCATCTTCGGTTAAACAAGGCCAGGATAATAAAACTGTCACTTTTGTACAAAGCTGCTTTCCTTTTGGACAGGCTACTGCAAAAGGAGATGTGAGTCAGTGTATTATCAGCCTTGCAAAGAGGCTTTTTATCAGACTGGCTGCTGCTCAGCTTTTGCCCAGGCAACAGACTCGGGGCAGGCGGTGACATTTAGGGCTCTCAGATTTGCTGAAGAAGAGTCAAGCCGGGGTTAGTTGAGTATCCGTAGGAGGCATCGGTTTGCAGAGCTGTCTACAAGCCCTGCCTCACAGAGCCGATGATAGCGCCAAGTCTTCAAGACAGAAATTTGCTGAAGACATCCCAGAAGGTAAAACAAGAAAAGTCTGCAAGAAACTCCTTTCCCCTGCTGGCCATGGTGACTTTTTCAGTTTAAATAATCACTGATCTCACTTAAGTAAGCGCAAGTTTCAGTGGGGATAGGGTGTGCTTCTGGAGAGGTCTAAACTGGCAGGAGGAGTCTGAAGACATGAATTTGTGATCAAGTTTGTTCGTGTAAAAAAAACAAACTTCTTTTTGTTTGTTTTAAACCTGATGCCCATGTTTTCTTGCGTTATGAGAAGAAATGAGCAACTGTTCTTTAGTAAACCCCCTACACCTTCCCAAATCAGGATTCTACTTAATTCTGCCATCTCTTTTCCCAGACAAAGAGTCCTATACTACTCAACAAGCAATTGATACAGCAGTAAATACTAAACAGCTCATTACCGAAAAACTAGACCTGGTTCTTTTGCTGCCTGTTGGACAACATGACATAATACGGAGCCTAGGTTGCTGTCCCCAGATTCCTCTGGGGCACATATTCTGCTTTGGGTTACACTGCTGCAAGGGAATGAAATTCTTAATTGACAGACACTAGCAACATGGGAAAGTTGGTAGAGGAACAAAGCAAATTAAAGCAGTAGCACCTAAAGAGAATAAAAGCATTGATCGCTGAACATTGAGCACTAGTGGGAAGATGGAGGAAGAAGAAATATTAGGAAAAGATGGCCTTTGACAACCTGAAGATAAACGGCTATTAGATAGGCGCTGACTGACAGGTGGGGCTTTGATTTCCCTGAGAAAGGCATCTTTCCCACTATCCTTTTATTTACTGCCTGTGTATGACTGAGACCGAACAGTCAACACCACCAACACGAGATTACTTTTTGAAGCGTACATATGCATGTGAGAAAAAGAAAGGCAGGTAGATTTTGTGCAAATCATGTCATCTTTCAGTTTTCTGACTTACAGAGATTGCAGCAGCTGCCTGTTGGGAAAGTGCTTGGAGATCCACAGGTGGAGGGAATGATGCAAAAGAGTTATGCTATTCAAAACCAGGGCAAAACATTTAAGGAAACTGCACAAGA